GAACTGGAGCGGCATTTAAAACTACATGTACTTTAAAAAAAAAAACTGTTTAAAGGCCTGCACAAACAAACAAGCGAATTTATTTGTTACAGGACATTATATTCCTTTAAATTCCGTTAGGAAAAGAAAATCAAAATTTTGAAAAAGCATGTATACCAACTTTAACAACAAATCTACTATATTCTGCTGTTCGGTGTCGGCGACCCTCTGGAAAAAAAAGGGGCTTTCATTTTGCACACAAATGAACCCGCCCTGCGAGCAGCGAGTGCTGAATTTACATGTTTGGCAGCCAATAATTCAAATTTTGTGAAGAAGTAATTCAATAACTTAATGATGGTGGATTTCTTCGTTCAATTTCTCATTCCAAAGTGAATAACTTTAATATTGCTAAGAAAATAGCAAGTGAAAAAAACTCCCTTATATGTCTTTCGAGGTGCAACTCAAAAATAGCATGGGGAACGGTGCATCATGGGAAAAGGTTGGCACTTGTTTATAAACCATGGGCAAATTGCAAAAAAACACACCAGTAACCCGGTTACTTTCTATTTTTTAGCTCTGGCAGGAGCTTCTACATGTCACTTCGTGGTTGGTCGGTAGGTCCGTCCCCAGAAAATTGACCAAAAAACGAGTCCCTTAAAGGGAATATACATCATTTGCTTTTGCTGTAATTTTCAGAAATGGATGGAATTGTGGGGTTGGAAATATATAGCAAATGTAGTTACACTGACTTTTTTTGAGGTTTTGGGTTTGAAAATGCTATAAAAACCAAGAAAAGCAATCATTTTCCTGTAGTCTGGTTCCCTGACTCCATATAAGAAAAAACAGAGCAATTTATATACATTGGGGAATTGTAAGGTCAGGGAACCAGTCTAGCTGGCTCGTACCCGTTCATAGGTTTGTAATCGATTGCAAACAAGTGCGATGGTCAATTGGAGCCAGTATTTGAAAAAAAGCCAGTTTTTTCCAACGCTCATCGGCCGATCAGCGTTGGAAATTGATACAAAAATACCACTTTTCTTGAAAATGACAGTATACCAGGTGCCATGATTTTACAGGATGCTTTCCACTGTCATTCACTAACAGTCCAGCAAGGTATTTCAAAATGATTTGGTAGTTTTATTTTTTTGATGTTTGCAAATGTTGTATTTTCCCTTTAAGCTTCCCATAAAATATAACCACCAATTGGCCAAAAAATTTACCACATGCAATGCCGTCATCAGTAAATGCACTATTAGTGAAAGTTTTCAGAACACGCCCCTTTGTCTCGATTGATACGCATGCGCGTCTATTTTGCATATGGAGTGAGACATTCCAGAACCGAGCCAGAGCTTATTGTGCACTCGCGCTTGTTTTTAAATGGTCCCACAAAATTAAGATACGATCATACCAGCAGTGTTCAAGTTCCAAGTTTAAATTTACAAACCTTTTGTACATGCAATGTAAGTACCTTTCTTTGCTACACCCTTTACATGCATGTTTCACTCACCAGTTGATGCCAATATCATATGTAGCTGATGTACATATATCACAATTGTCCCGCTGATCTCCTTGGTCTAACGTGCTGTTCAATTGGTCTATAAAGTTGACAGTGTAGCACACACACATAAAGCACTTGCGTACCAGTACATCTAGCACTGTTCAGCTAAAGGCTTCAAATCAAGTTTTCCATGTGAAGAACAAGTTGCGGACAAAACAAAAGTGCCTTCAAGTAGGCCCGCTGTTAGCAAAACTTGGATGGCAAATGACATCGGTATCTGGGCAGTGATGATCTTTTAATACCAGTTCGTCTGACTGTTATAACATAAAAGACACGACTCTTACTTTACTTGGCAATGGATATATAACAATCAATCATGCAGTCCACATATCCATGGCAACAGGTGCCCGATGTGCTATTAGCAAATTTACTTTCTACTGTACATCACCTGCTTGGAATTTGGCGGGAAAGGTAGTTGCTCCCTGTGAAATATGCATGTTTATCCTTTCCACACTGTGTGCACTCATGTGTGCCAAGTTTCCTTCCACTCAGCTAGCCTCATAGAATAATGTATTAGTAATATTATCCACAAGGTTGAGTTGTGCTATGAATTTTTCAGAATAGATGCAATCATGATGCAATTACCGTCTCGCCATAGCATCACTTTGTGCTGAATTTGTCACGGAGCTCAGTTCGCTGAGGGATTAACCAACCGTAGTGGCTGGTGTTAATATGGGACAGGTTTCTTGGCAACTTAGGCTGTAGTAATCACCTTGAAAAAGAGGTGTTTTGATTGGCTGATTTGATCGTGTTGTGCGTGACTGTTGGCAAAGATATGGATCTCACTCTTTCTGTTGTTTTTCTGTAAGTTACCATTGATACAACTTGAACCAGGTTTCTGGAGCTCGAAGTCTTCCAACAAATTGTATTTGTTATCTCTTAATTTTTTTCCCCAGTTTTGTATGATTTGTACGTATTTTAACCAAAGAAAGCAATTTTTTTCTCCTAATTTTGGTGCCCTAAACCTTCCTTAAAATCCTTTTTTTTGGGGGGGGGAGATGATTTTTCACTTTTATTAATGCACAAAAACATCCACCTGATTCATTGTCAAGCCTCAAATAATTCATCACCTGTAAGTTATTATGAAGAGTTATTTTGTTGTTCAATGTTTCCTTGTATATAGCTGGAAAATTAAAATTAATATATATGAGATTGCATAAATTGAGAGTAGCACACCGGCAATATGTAAAAAGCAACTTAATAAACACATGAGTCAGTATGATCAAGACCCAAATTAAAGAAAATGTAAAAAAAATATGAGGCAAATTATCAAAACTAGTGCAAATGAGATATGTTATGGGCTGCTACTTTGGACATATGGGTGAATGTTTTATGAATCATTATCATGGTACCATTTTGAAGAAAAGTGCTAGCAAAGAACACGTGCTAAAAACACTCTGACCACGGTTCCATGGTTCCATAGATATGTAACTAAGAAAAGACAGGATAACATCAGTTAGGGACACAGAAATAAAAAGATAAAAAATAAATTCATGAAAATAACCAAATAAAACAAGTAATGTTATTAATACATTGATTAATTAATTACCAGGAGAAAAGATGACTACATAAAAAGGAACTAAGAATGATGATAACAGTACTGGGGAGAGGTGAATTGCAAAAAGTAAAACATTCAATAAATACATCCAAATGTTACAAAGAAATACCAACTTCCTTTGTGTACATTAACTACTGGTGCTAGAAAGAGCACGGGACACCTGCTTATGGAAAGAATGACGGGATGGTGCACCGAACACATCACAATTTCCCATGGAGCCCACTGTAGGTGGTAGAAATCCTAGAAAATATGAAAACATTTATTGCAATTCAACACAATTCATATTAAATTAAAGCTATGTATGCTAAACATTTCAATTACAATTAACACTGAGTATTGCCAGATTTAATGCAGAAAGCATTTAATCAACAACAGCCAATGTTGACATGTGTCCCAAATTCATGAAATGACCCATAAGGCCAGTTCTTTTCAGTAAATTGATTCCTAAGGCCAAAAAAAAAAAATAAAAAAAATAGTCGGTCTCGGGTCAGTGTGTCCGTAGATTTTAATCAAGCGCGTTAATTTTTTTTTTTTTCAAATTTTCCGCTGTTTGTTTTTAAAACATTTTGGAGGCAAAATCCAAGTCCTAAAAGTTGCCTTGGGTGTAAGGAAAATGTGAAGGAAAGCATTTTGTGTTTAGGGTTAATGAGGGGCAACAAGCAGATGTGGAGGCCATATGCACCAAGGCATGGGGAGAGCATCTACATTTATTTGGTAAATGAGGGGCACCAAGGAATGGGGAAGGGCACAAAGGCAAATGATGGAGGGCACAAATAAAGGCAAATGATGGAGGGCATCAAGGTATATGAGGACACAAAAAGCAAAGTACATCTACCGGTAGTACCCACCTTGTCTGTACAGTCCAAGCTTGTAAAAAGAAAGGGGAAAAAATGCATTGCCACATCAATTCCGGAACTTTGGTCTGACCAGAGACCGGCTTTTTTTTTTTTTTTGGTCTAACCAGGCCAAAGTGGATTTGATTCTTGGCATTTTAATGGATTTTCAATTTACATGTAGGAAGTGATTGTCATTGTGCTAGAGATGTAAGATTGATCTGACGTCTATGCATTAACCACTTATAAATGTAGCACCAAATCAGAGTGCTCCAATTTCCAGGATTGGTCTGGTCGACCTGTGTTACTTGACAATTGAATGGAAGTGGTGGAGGTGGAAATATTAGGCCCTTGTTAATGAAAATGGATAAGGTTGTTTCACTTTTTTATTCACTTTTTAGGTGGGACAATGTGGGAGGGGTAATGGGTGATTTGAAACAAGAACTGGAATGACTTTATAATTAGAATAGATTGCTGACTGTAATCATTTGATGCGATACAATTCATATTGATCTATAAATGCGTCAAAAGAACAAGTAACTAGATAGCACTCAGAGAGTGCAAACCTCTGCCGAGGCTAATTAATTCCCCAGCATATTGTCTTGTACACCCAAAATAAAATACTGGCATAAATGGTGAAGAATGCTTAAGAAAAATCCTGGATCCAGACCCAGATCCGGATCCCTTCCAAAATCTAATCCATTTGTACTTGTACTAAGGACCACCCCTAAAAGATTTTTTCATGCAAATCTGTCCAAAAACCATGATAACTCTTTGAGTTATCTTGTTAACAGACCAACCAACGCTGATGAAAAAAATAACCTCCTTGGCGGAGGTAATAAGTGGGGAATTTGAGGAGGCTTCTGCGATACAATGCACAAGTATTGTTGCCTCATGTTACTGTTTTTAAACCAAAACATCAGAAAGAAAATTGGCACATGCCCACTGGATCTTCATGTACATGTATAAAGAACGGTACGGTACATTTTACTTGTAGATGTATGTCCATGTTTCTTCTATTGCGAGAGATTTGAATAGAATTTGTTCCCTTTTGTTTTTGTTTGACTCTCAGGAAGGAAGCAGCGAAGCAACTGGGACAAAAGTCGTCCAAACTACTGCCGTTTTGTCATGCACAAGGAGAACATGGAAGTGAACGATTCACTAACGCTCATCAGCAAATACTCACAGTGAGTGTACTTTTTGAGTTTTTTTTTTAATTAAAATAAATGTGCATGTATTGTCAACACAGGGCCAACCAGGTACTTTTTAAAGAAAAGGGCCAACAATTTGTTTCTTGAAGTTTTGCAGAAATTATTGTGGGACTGAGTATACAGGGTGAGTTAAAAAAAACCGAAACCCAAATGGCAGGACTAATTATTGAATAAAGTTTCGCCTGTAGCACTTTCAAAATCTAGGATATGAAAACCCAATTGATAAGCTTTCTTTTAGTATAAGATCATTTAAATCACTCATGTACTTTTCAAGTTACAGAATTTTGACCACAAAAACTGTTTTTAAGTTCTGTCCACGGATCACAAAAAAGTCAGTGTTCTTTCAGCAAAACAAAAACAGTTCTCATATGGATGTATGTGAATTGTTTTCGTTTTGCTGAAAGAACAATTACCTAAAGTTTCTCTGTGATCCGTGGACAGAACTTTAAAATGGTGTTTGTGTTCAAAATTCCGGAACTTGAAAAGTACATGAGTTTGATTTGAATGATTCTTGTACATGTTGTACTAAAAGAAAGCTTATTAATTGGGCTTTCATATCCTAGATTTTGAAAGTACATGAGTGATATGAATGATTCTTGTACTAAAAGAAAGCTTATCACTTGAGCTTTCATATCCTAGATTTTGAAAGTGCTACATTGTACAGGCAAAACTTTATTCAAAAATTAGTCCTGCCATTTGGGTTTCGTTTTTTTTTACTCGCCCTGTATTTTCTGATTTGTCCATTTGAGCAAAAAAAGTTAAAGTCAATATTTGGAACATTTTAAAATCTGAGGCCTGGTTCCATACTGCATGTAAATGTTAAAAGTCCTTTGGATTTTGACATCACAAAACATTCACCGCAAAAGTCTCCAGAATGCCTAGCGACGTGAATGTGCTTGAAATGTGATAATTGCGAATAGGTAATACAATGTTTGATCCACTCTTGTCTTACTGTATCCCATAGTGTCAAGCACCAGTCCTTCGGCTTTTCGGGAACCAAAGACAAGAGAGCAGTCACGGTGCAAGAGGTCACTGTTTGGAGGTAATTGTTTTTGGCAGCGATAAAAAAACCTAGAAATGTGTTTGTCACATGGACAAAACACAGTTGTTTTGGCTGTTTAAAGTAACTCTGTGACATGTGATGACGTCTTCATGACGTCACTTTAAAATTTATCTGTAACACATGGTTCTAGTTTAGGTAAACATGTATCAAGTTACAACCAAATAGGACCTATAGTTCCATGACGTCATATGACTTGTGATGATGTCATCATGACGCCACTGAAAATTTCACCTGCAACAGATCCCTGTCTATGTACCAAGTTTTAACTCATTCTGATAGTTTCAACTCGGAAACGCATTGTGGACATCTCTATTTTCAGATAAAGATACAGTAGATAATAAATGCCATTTCAGCATTCCTAGTCGACACACCTGTTACACGCTAATATGGAGTTCATTGGGCTAGAAAAAAATTAGCTAGTTTTCATTGCGCGCATTGTAAATGGCCATAAGATGTAAATTTAAGACTGGAGGATTATTAAAGCAGTCCACATACATGTACATGTACAATGTACATGTGTAGGCATTATACACCATGTGGTGTACATGTACGTTAACATAAGCTTGAGAATCAGCATCAATTGAGTGCTTTGTACATTTTCATGTACAAGTGTATGTCGGGGATTGTGGGAAAACAATTCACACACATGTGATTTGTTTTCGTTTTTGCTGAAAGAGCACTTACCTTTTGGTGATCCGTGGGCAAAACTTTAAAACGATGGATGTGTTTGAAATTCCGTAACTTGAAAAGTACATGAGGGATTTGAATGATTCTTGTATTAAAAGAAAGCTTATAATTGGGCTTTGATATCCTACATATTGAAAGTGCTACATGCAGAATTTCACTGAAACAATGGTCCCAACATTTTGGTTTCATTTTTTATTTTAATCACCCTATATATAGGATGTAACTGCTAATGTGTTAGGGTTAGCACAAAAAAAGTAATGCTTAAGGTAGCACAGCTTTTCCGCAGTGTCATGAAATTGGATGTAGTAGATGAGAAGTCTATAAATGAACCATCATGGACTGGTCATCATGGGTCATCTGTCCGGCCAGAGGAAGGGTCATCCCAGGTTGTCACTGATAAGAATGGTCAACCCTTTAATAATCAAAATTTCCCATTTCCTGATTTCTCTAGACAGGCTGTGAACTTTTCAATGGATCATAATCGCAAGGGGGATGCTTCAGTCATTACAAGGCTATGATTGGATTGTTTTATTACTCACAAATTAAATTTGCAAATCGACTAGAAAGAAATAGTTGACATGTATCAGCTGACTGGCTAATTGTCGCCTATCAAGGGCGGATCCAGAACACAATTTTTTTTTTGGGGGGGGGGCCTAAAAAAGAATTTGGTCCCCAAAAAAGTGGGTCAAAAAACTTACATGGGGTTTGGTGGTGCGATCTGAGGCAATTTCTGACCACTTTTGACCAATTTCGCTCAGAGGAAAAGATGGTGGTATACGCGACATCACTACAAAAATATTGGGTTGGGGGTATGGCCCCCGTTGGCCCCCCCCCCCCCCCCCCCCCCCCGGATCTGCCGTTGCCCCTATCAACTGCACAGTGCCCGAAGAAAGCGTGAGTAATTCAAATTGCGTGCTCCCATGCATGCAAGTACTGTGCGATTGGTATTCCCTGCTAGTCGTTTTGGGCAGTGTGACATTGTCACTCGGCAATTTCCACTCGCGTTCTCTTTATATTAGCAACTTTTCAAACTGCAGCATTTTTCATAAACAGTTGTCAATGATGGACGATTTACAGTCTTTGGTAGCAAACGGGGTATCAAATGTAGCTAAAATAATTCCCCAAAGGTCTATATAAATTGTGTTATCATAAGACGATCAGATTCAAAATTATGACCCCTCCAATGAGTGTGGACTCTCTTTTTTTGCCGTGTTTATTACATTTCCATTGTAGGCTGTTCATTTATAACATTTATATTTTTTTAAGACAATCAGTCAATATCACCAGTTTTGAGTTTTATATCGTAATGACTTCCTTTGCGTATGGTCCCATAGCAGTGAATTGTTTTAAATAACTTCAATCAAACGATGAACAAATGAAAACAATCATTAATGTTTGAAACATGGCACCTACATGTTATGATCAGCTCAATTTCAGTATTGGGTGCATTCGAGTAGCTCACCTGGATCGACTCGGGTTAGCCCCGTGCCGTTCGATTAGCTGTGACGTCATGGCTCACCCGGGTCAGCCACCACAGACCCTACTCGTGGAGCAGAGTCTGTGGTGGGAATACGTCACAGGCATGCATTGTTCATTCTAAGAAACGGACAAATACATGTATGGCGGCCGGACAGCCGATATCTCAAGTGGACCCAAAAACAACTTTATTTGAAGTCCAAAGGTACTTATTCATTGAGTTCATTGGGACATTAGAGGCTATAGTTCCAGAGTTCCAGCCCAACTTTTTCAAGTCTTGCAATTGACTGAAAAGCAGTAAATCTCAAACTAAGACCTAGTCCAAAAAAGGGTGTTTTGTCAGTGCAGTGGCTACGGCCATGGCTACGGCCGTCACGTGAGGTCGTGATGGCCTGCGGTTGAGCGTTTGATTAGCCAGGCTGTCGTGGCTATAACCCATCTGCCTTTACCCGAATCGATCCTGGTGAGCTACTCGAATGCACCAATTCTTTCAATATAAATTTAATTCTCCATAAGAGGGATACACTCCATACCATTTACATTTTCAAAGTGCATGATAATAACTCACATGCTATTCATGTACTGACATGTACAAATATATGTAACTTATATATGCAACAATCCAATATGGAAGGAAGTCATTTGTGCCGTTCCTTGTTTCAGGGGTGTGAAATCTCAGCTTTAAAGCTAATTTCAGCTTTTTTTGTTTTGGATTTCAGCTTTTTTTCCCTCACTTGCTGTGTACAAAGGTATAGGAGATTTCCAAAGTTCAGCTTTTTTAACACTTTTTTCAGGTGTTTTCAGCTCTTTTTTATCAGTGGTCACTCTCACCCCCGTTGTTTACTCCTTATGACGTTAAACCGGACTATACATGTTTATGTACCAAATTAAATGTAACTTACACATACATACAACCATAGATAAAACTGTACAGTAGTGTTCAGCTATATGTTTATGCTCAGCAGGCAGTCTGTTTAAGTGCCGAAATATACAAGCATGGAATTTAATACACCTTGATATAATATTTATAGAAAGTAAGCAAATATTTTAACAGGTTTATTACAGAACCTACTCCTGGCAGGCTGAATCAATTCTTCATGAATATTTACAAATATTTCCCTTTCGTGGCAACCAGACAAATTCACTTGAGGCCAGCCTTTGTAAATCGATGCCTGTGTTGTATGAAATGCAAAATGGAACACATGTCTTTACACTGTAGCATTAAAACCATTAACAAAGAAAACAGGCTTCTTTTAAAACGTTTTCACAAAGTATTTTGTCATTAACACGTTTTGTCATTTACACGTATACAGCTGAATGTACCGGTGGTTAACCAAATTCCCATAAAACCAGAAAAATGACATGTATTCAATAGTATGACTGGAAGTTACTACAAGCAAATAGCGTGCAACTCACACCACATTCTTAAGCACTGAGATATCCTTACTGTGCGACATTTTGATTCATTTACTTTAATTTTTATTTTTGGACGAATGGAATCCTAGGGAGAGAGAGATGGAGGGAGTGATTCCCTGTTTGCAGGTAACGTATTAAGAAGTGAACCCTAAACCCTAAATTGCTACCCACGAGTACCTGATTCTACTCGTGCCAGGACGAGTACCGTACTCAAATAGATGAAAAACCACAAGTAGCATAAAGTACTCGCGAGTACTCGAGTACTCGAGTAATGGAGTTACTCGCCCAGCTGTAATTACAGAGTTACAACCCTCACAAATGTGCCTTAATTCCAGCTCCTGGTTTTGATTTGTGCTGGACTCATTAGATGCCGTCTGGCCCCATGCTCTACTGTACATGGGGCTTAATGGCCAACTATGTTTTGTGTTGGATTTTGGTGGTTTCAGGAAGGTAACCAAAAAAATAATTTTCAGAGAGTTAGTACATGTAGACACAAGAACGTACATAAGCGCTGTTCATCAGCCAATAATGCATCACTCTGCCAGTGCCTGAATCCATGTGTCATACAAATGTATGTATTACATGCACTGCTGTATGGTCTTCAACACAGCTGATGCATTTGGCAAGGTGCCTGTGTAAATCATTCATCGACTACACACATGTAGTTATTGATTGCTAAAGTCAAAATTTCCGCCAGACGGTGTTAATAGCTTCATGCAGTGGGAACCCATTGTTCACCTATATTGACTTAATTCAATGAACCAATCAGGAGTGAAATACGACAGGCCATATCCAGCTGTACAGACATGCAAATTTGCATTAATGACAAATTTCCTATATTATTCATTTTAAAAGGATTAGTGTGTCATGTTTAAGTGTTAAACTGATAACTTCCAGGCACTGGGTAAACAACATGTAGAAGCAGTTATAAGCTGATTGACGTAATTGCATCAGGGCCAGTACATGTGTGGCATGCATGTGACCTGATGACTGCACAGAATCGAAGCATTTACTTGTGGCTGCACTGGAAAATTTGGAACCCTACTCGGCTGTCAGAATATAAAATTTACATTTAAATTGAAATTTAAAATTACATTAAAAAACCAGGCCAACTATAGAAAATATCCTCTTTTATGTGTAACCTATCTTTTTGCACCAGTTTTATAATTCATGTAATTTGTAACAGGATTTAATCTTATAATTACGACGTTCTGCTTTGAATATCAACTCTCTTTCCTCAAATTGTGACATTATAGATCAATTGTTCTCTAAATTGCTGTCATAACCACATTTCAGGTGTGTTGCCCTTCTTCGCTACATCACACCTTTATACACACATTGAATGAATCACCATTTTGGGGTGACAACGGCACCACGATAAATAGGTTAACTTCCTTTGACCCTAGTTAGGGGCAGGCCAAGGTGTGCCCGTGGCCCTTTGTGATGAGCTGTCCAGGAAATGAGGCCGGTCTTCCCCAGCACCATCCAGCTGAGACCTGCCTCAGGATGCAGCACTTGTGGATAGTTGTTGTGAAGTGTCTGGGTTTAATAGGTCGGACGCCCGTATACTAAAGGAAACCGACTCACCAGTTGTCTACTGGTTTAAAACAAGTGCGATTGCACAATAATTAAGCTCTGGCTGTCTTACATGAAAGTCTATAACATTGACCGAAGATTGAACGATTGAAGACGTCAGACGTTTGTTGTTGGAAACATTCAGTCTCATTTCCACAAATTGTGACAGCAGATTATACAAGGGATGATGCATCAGATCCATTAAACGCAGGCATTACAATGTAGGTGTCACTGCCCATTTGTCTCTCAGTTTTCATCTTGAGAATTGATGCTGCAGCAATATTGGGAGCATCCGGAGAAATCTAGAAATGGCATAGATGAAATAATAGATGGTGGTTATACATGCAGTGTGCGTTTCAACCATTAGAAAATGGACATGTAACGCACGTAGCATTCCTTCCCATTGGGAAAACAGTATGTGTGTACCAAAAAGTGTATTTACATGGACTTCATCAAAATGATTTAAATGATTCTATCTATTATGATTATGATTCTATTATGATTCTTTTTATATATCGTTTTTGTACCGGTAGTTGAAAATGAGAAAATAACCAAATCATCCCCCTTTACATAATACAATCCACATCACAGTGAGCAATTGATTTTGCCTTTGAGAGAAGACCCTTTAATACGGGACATGTGATTGCGATTTGCACAAAGTCTACATCTGGTCACTCCAGTCGATGGAAAAATTGCTACATGTTTTAATTTCATTAAAAATCGGCCGTGGGACTGAAAAATTGAGGGCCTTTTTTTCATCGACTGTACATGAACATGTTGCCCTTAATCTTGTTCAGTGCACAAAACTATGTTTTGCAAGCAGTATGAGTTGAAACTGTTTCATAATGTACTCTGTGGTTCATTGATCTTGTTTTCATTTTTTTTCTGGGACTGGGAGTCATGACCATTAAAACTTGGCTATTAGCCACACAGTTACATGTAAATCTTTCTGGCCTTCTCGCTTATTCCTCTGTTTAAAGTGTGTGACTGAAGAAATAGACCTGTTATCAGAACAACAAGTAGATGTACATTCTTAAATCTGTTCAACAACTGGGTTTCATTTGTGGCACCTCAGTCTGAGAAATGTGTGCATACATGTACATTGTAAGTGTGCTTTGTTTTAATTTACAATTTCCTCATCATGTACAAATGTACACCATGCAAAAGTACTCTGTCAGTGGTTACAAGGGGGGAGTTGGGGTAGACCACTTGAAGGGACATTCAAAAGTATTGTATACAATTATGCCTGGCGCTCACGCGAAGATGCTATGGCTTTGTGTGCATTCCAAATAAAATAACTCGTGCGTACCTTGCGCCTTGTGGTCAACAAATGCATCTACATGTATTGTCTGTGCACGGAGTCCACTGTGAGTAATCGACATGCTGTAATAAGTTTGGTATTCCAACTGCGCATGCACACAATGATATGGGTCACAGGTATTAAATTCAGGATAATCGAATGCGCATCGAAGGCGTATGAATGCGCAGGGAGACGGGCGCAGGAAGCTTGCATGTTAATTACGAGCAGAATGGGTGTTTGCGTGAATCGCGCGACATCACGTCAGCGATTTTTTCCCGAATGACCTTTGACCTAGGCTAATACCGAACTAGCTTATTGACTAATATAACAGTGATGAGCTGAGTCCATCATAAGACCGGTCTTGAAGTAATCACTAGTCCTTACACAAGTTTAGTCACAGGTAAACAGGGGATGAACAGTAACAAAAGATTGCCTCTATCATGTTTATCACAGCTCATTTGAATAGCTTGTGACCTGACTTGAAATTGAAGGACTTATGAGGACTTTTGATGAACTTGACATCAACACTGACTGATAATGGTACCTGTGTAGAACAAATTTGTTCTTGCACATACATACATGTACCGTACATATATTTATATTAGCAATTTGGGCAATTCACAATGCATCGCGCCACCAAGAGTTTGCCACGGAGAGTTCATTTTTCCAAGTGCATTGTGGGAGATGGTCGACAAATTCGCAGCGCGGGACATTTGAAATGTTTTCCTGTCAGTACACTGCCAAAAATATATTTCTTATTTTGAGAAAAAAAAACTTAAAACAAGTTATTTTTTCTAGGGAGTGACACAAGAAAATATTTCTAAAAGGCCAATTCTTGTTTTAAGAAACTTGTTATTAGATTTTTTTTCTAGTGTTCTTGATTTAGGATAAATAATTTTCTTAACTTTTGTCAAAATAAGAAAAAAAATTCTAAACTTTTCTCAGTTATGTTTCTTATTTTAAAAAAAACTGCAAGAAAATTTTTCTTGTTACAATTTTCTAGGGAGTGGCACAAGAAAACCTCTTTCCTTTTCTTGAATCAAGAATATAACCCCTTCATATTGCAAAAAAAAATCTAGTTTTTTTTCTTGTTTCTTACTCAACTTTTGTCAAATTAAGAATATTTTTTTCTAAACTTTTCTCAGTTATGTTTCTTATTTTAAGAAAAACTGCAAGAAAATGTTTCTTGTTACAATTTTCTAGGGAGTGACACAAGAAAACCTCTTTCCTTTTCTTGAATCAAGAATATAACCCCTTCATATTGCAAAAAAAATCTAGTTTTTTTTTCTTGTTACTTTCTCAACTTTTAAATTTTTTTCTAAAGTTTTCTCAGTATGTTTTTTATTTTAAGAAAAACTGCAAGAAAATTTATATTGCTCAATCCACCTGAAATCAACTTTTCTCAGTTATGTTTCTTATTTTAAGAAAACCTGCAAGGACAATTTTCTTGTTACCATTTTCTAGGATTAGGAATGACACAAGAAAACCTTTTTCCTTTTCTTGAATCAAGACAATTAACTCCTAGCTGGAATTGTAATCTTGGGTGTTTTTTTTGTTTCTGCTGAGGTTTTCTTGGATTCCAAAAGAAAAGACATCATAAATCTTAGTACAAATTAATGAGAATTGTTTTCCTACTACAAGAAAACAACTTCAAGGCAAAGGTATGCATTCATCATAGCAGCAATGGATGCCATGAAGACATTGTGTTAATATTTAACAAATAAAAGTCCTTTGTTTCAGGCTTACCTTTTTTAATCACCCTGTATAGTTTGCTCATTTCAATAATACTATTTTCACCTTACATTACAACTTTATTTAAAAATTTTGTCACTGTCATAACTAGGCCAATATACATTTTTATTGGTGAACTTCAAACCTAGTTTTGAGCATTATTCTCCAAACTTAGATTTGCTTCTCGGGCAGAGCCTAATCGCCAAACTCAGATTCACTTCTAACATGGAGGAATAAGAACATCTAAAAATCAATTGTCATATCAGTGACTGCCACTTTATATGTTACTTTCTATAAAAGAAAAGGAATTGCTATCTCACTCATGCTTAGTGGGTTATGTGTGCAATGTTCAACATGTATTACAGTATGCATACATTTGCAACTACCGATCCGAAACTTACACAACTTTCAATCTTTTCAATCCTTAAACATCTTCAACAATAAAGTTCATACAAATAGCCATCCTTAATCTATGATAATTAAGTTAAAACATGACAATAAAACTAACATTTGTACATACCTCTGGCAGAATAAAAATGATGGAAATGATAAGTGAATGTTCAGGCCTGACAGCTGAAACAATACACTTTTAAATTTCAGTTGGCTACTCCCCCAACAGCGCCCTCTGTTGTTCTGGCCAAAGTCATACAATTTTAATTTCATTCAAGAAAAGTTTTCTTAAAATGAGAAAGTATTTTTTTGTACAATGCATCAACAAAGAACACTTGGCAAGAATAAATTTCTTGAAGTGTAGCATTTTTTGAAGACAAGAATTGTTTTTATTAACAGGAAATATTTTCTTAAAATAAGAAAATAGTTTGCAAATATGAGAAAAACACAGTTCGTAGTTCTTAAACAAATTTCTTATGTAAGAAATTTTCTTAAAATTAGAAAATGTTCTTGTAATGAGAATAATTTTGAGAAAAAAAATCTTAAAAAAAGATATAATTTCTTCAAGTATATTTTATTAAATATTTTAAGAAGTATTTTCTTGCCCATTTTCTTTTTTCTTACAAATTATCTTAAATCTAGAATATTTTTCTAATTTCAAGAAAAGTTTTCTTAAGTAAGAAAATATTTTTGGCAGTGTAGTTTTGTAAGCATATGATTCAAGTATCTGTTTGCTCTTTTCTTTTCTTTTTATTAATACGGTGTTGTTTGTATATAAGGCGGCAGAACGCTATGCCCCAATCTATAACAAATTAGCTCAAGCTGTCTACTGACACTCGTTCATATGGGCCATGTTTTGTCAACTGTAAACTTGAAAAATTGACTCTCCACGGCAAACTCTTGGTGGTGCACTGCATTGTGAATCGCCCGAATTCTTGTCTAATTTCACCCTTTGCAAAAGTGTGCCTATAATTTTCCACAGTACCTTCCCTCTATAGTGACCTCTTCTGAACTCTCGCTTGTTCTTAGAGTACATTATAAATTGTACAAAGACAATATCTAAGTTCACCACTGATTTATTGTTTGTGACATATCATACATGTACTGTACCTGGTTGTTTCTGCTGAGAAGCATCTCGCCATATATCCAACAGCCAACTCACATTTGTGTGTCCTGTATCTTAAGAGTTTTCCTCTTGTTGCCTTTGGGGAATAATTCAGGCTCCCCAGGCACAAAGTCCCTCAATGGTGCATCTCCTAGATGCAGGCTTTGTCTGGAGTCCATAGGATTCATGTACATTTGTCTATCAGGCAAGCCCTGGAGATCAATCAGCATGACATCGTCTGAGTTGCGGTAAAAAGAGGATTGATGAGATGGCATAGTAGTGCGCATGCTTTTTCGAAACACCTCTGCAACGGAGCTTGAGGGGCTCATGTTGGATTGCATCATTGGCTCATCGTAGGCATCTTTGTTGTGTCTCCTCTCTTGGATCTTCTGGTAGCCATATCCCATCAGGATGAGAAGGACAACAACTGCTAAGCAGCTTCCGCCAATGGTCAGAAATTGAGTGTTGAATATTGAATTTGTCCGCTGTGCAGCCTTCTGCGTTTCTGCCCAGATGCAGTCGTTGTCGCCGACTGTGCTCTCGCCACCTTGGTTGAAGGCCACCACGCAGATCTTGTACGACACGCCGGTCTCCAGGCCCTCCATTGTGTAACTCTGTACCGTCGGGTGTATAGGCACGCTTTTGACTACTGTCCGCTCACCTACAATACTGTAGAGAACACGGTAGCCTTGCACGTTTTGCATATCGGACCCCTCCCAGGTTAGACTGATATAATTCTTATTTGAAGCAATGACTGTCACCTCTTTGGGCATGTCAGGTTTCCGGTATTGGCAGAAATTGCCCCCATAGTTCTTTCGGCATATGCAGCCTGCCTGTCGCACTACATTCTGCTTTTCAAACTCACTGCTTTCCCGACTGACTATGCTGGTACTCTCCGTGCTTTGCTCGTTGGGCTCTTCACTGCAAGATCCCTCATTTTGGCAAGGGTTTGGGTTGCATGTGGTAACTGTCTCATTTTCTGTTCCTGGACCTTGCCCAGGCCACTCTTCATGTGGTGTCAGGTTTAAAGTAGTAGTTCCATCATCAGAATTGTCTGTGACTGGATCAATCCTTGGAGTTGTCACAGGAGTTGCAGGTATTCGCTCCAAGACCTTAATATTATAGACTATTGTGTCGGCACCAACTGTGTTTGTTGATTTGCATTTGTATGAACCAGCATCTTTCCTCTGGATGTTGTACAGAATGAGTGTGCCATAGTGGTTGGTCAGAGCCCGCACCGTCTGGTTCATGAGTGGAGGGAAGGATGGAGCATCCTCCTCATGCTGATCAGGGAACACCCATGTTAGGGTTGCAACCGCTGTGGGGATGAGATGGCAGTGAAGGTAGACATCCTCGCCAATGAACTTGGTGAAGTTTGCTATTTTCGGTTCAGTTGATATCCTTGGATACACACACTGGAATGGGTTCCTGGGACCGTTAATCATATCAATGAGGCGCCTGTTGTTGTACACTTGTGGGGCATAGCAGTAGACTTCATTTGCACGTTCCACATTCTGCCAGTTCTGTTGAAACCACTTTGCAAAGCTGATCAGATGACAGTCGCAACTGAGGAAATTACTGACGACGGTCATTCGGTCGATGCTGTCCATTGCACGCACGGCACCTTCCTCAATGGTATGTATCTGGTTGTGGTCGAGTGTGATGGAACGCAGTTGCGTCCTCCAGGAGAATATGCCGTTTCGCACAACTGGGATGTTGTTATTGTCAAGGCGCACCTCTTGTAGTTGTGGCATATTTGTAAAGGCGCCGTCCTCAAGCTCATCGATCACATTGTTTTGCAGGTGTAAAGTTGTGAGAGCATAGAAATTGGTGCCGTAAAATGGTGCATTGTTTATAGATTTGATTTCATTGTTAGACAAATCCAAGGTGGTTAGGGTCCACAGTGAACTGAAGGAATTTGGCTGAAGGGTGGCAATATGGTTTTCGGGAAGCTCTAGGATTTGCAGACTCGAGAGGTCTCGAAAGAGTGTCGCGGATATCTCGGGTAACCTGCTCTGTTTTATCTTAAGTGATTGCATTTTTCTCAAACCAGCAAAAAGGCCCTGTGGAACATGCTGCGCGTTGCTGATTTTTAAAGTTTCAAGGTTGTGCAGTCCATACAGCAGCCCAAATGGAAATGTCCCAATATGTGTATTGTCTGAGATATCCAAGATCCGGAGATTGTAAAGTCCTTGGAAGAGTGTAGAAGGGAGGTTGCGCAGGTTATTGGCATTCAAGTACAGATTTTCCAAGGAACTCAATCCGTGGAATGTCTCCCGGCTCAAATGATTGAGTGTATTCCCATGGAGGTCAATGGTCCTGATGTTGTACATTGCATTGAACACTCCTGGATAGAGATTCTGGAGTAAATTGTTGTTGAGTGATAGAACTTCCAGGAAAGACAAGCCATTGAAAACTTGAGAGGGAAGGTAGGAAATAATGTTGTCATTCAAGTGGAGGGTCCTAAGTTGCGGCAATTGATAGAATGAGCCAATGTTTACCTCACCGATGCGATTTTCCTGGAGGTTCAAGAACTGCAGATTTGGAAGTCCCTGCAAGGAGTTTGTGTACAACCCTTGGATGCGATTCTTCGCGAGATCCAGAATGCCCAGGCTGGTCAAGTTGGAGATGGCCTCGGGGACATAGACCAGTTTGTTGCTGGTCAGGATCAAGTGGTTCAAGTTCATGATGAAGCGGAAGGCCCTCGGCGTGATGTACGTGATGTCGTTCCAGCCAAGGTTGATGAAGGACAGCTTGGTGTTTTTGCGGACGTCATCGAAATACACACCGCTCAGGTGGTTGTGGGATATGTCCAGGTAGAGCAAGTCGTACAAGTAGTCAATATTATCAGAGATGTTGATGATACCATTGTGGCTCAAAAGGAGGACCTGTGTGTCACGGGGGATATTGGAAGGCACATCATTCACATTTCGGTATCTGCAGTCCACCTGCTTGTATACCCCCGGTCCCAGGGCGTACGTCAGCTCTGGAGTTGACAGCCGTGCACAGATACAAGGACAGTACCGTTGACCTGGCCATATTTGACCAAGGACAGTTGACACTAGGCCAAGTATCAAAAGTGCAACGGACAGACTCAAGTCTGTGAGCTTCGCCATTTCTTGGCTTTTGTCTTTCAAATGAACTGTCTGAAGTCTCTCCTAAATATTAGCTGCTTTTCCTTTGTAATAGTAGTTTCCTGTTCAATAGCAGTAATGACTTGTCAGAGTACAAGGCCTTTTTGGTGAGTCATCCACTGTAAGGTTGAGTTGACAGCTTGTCTGGGTTTGCCATTTGGATGAACGCCGAACTGCAAGAGAAAGAAAGTCACATTCTTATTTGTATGTACTAAAATTGTTTGACAAATCATATATTAAATGTAAAACATGTTTACATGTATATTCACTCAACAAATTAGAGGGACTACCAAATTGCCTTGTGCCCATAATAATTTGGTGTAATGTTTTCTTTAAGTTTTAGACAAAAGAGACTTTGTCAGTACATGTTAGACATGATTACTGAGAAAGGATTTGGCTTTTTGATGTTTTTTCTTTATAAATTGTTTTTAAGTGGAGAAAATAAGTATTAAACAAAAATAACAGCAATAAAAAGGCACTTGAAGCGAACTTTTTTTTCTGTGGAAGGCACTTCTGTTCATACACATTTAAATTTATATGCATTTTCCAGTAGGTGTGTTCACTCTAAGGACTGCAAGACAATGAGAGAACAATAGATTCTTTGTTGTCCTCGAACGTACACATTGATTCTTGAGAATGGTCCTCGAATGTAAGTCTGTGTACTTATATGGGAGAGTGTTGTACATTGTAATACAGGAACCGAGGGAAACACAATGCATTGTCCTCAAAGGCAGAGGTGAAGTACAACCAGCGACTGTACTAGTACTGTGTATTGGCACGCTGACTGTTGCGAGACTAAGGTCGCACAGTGCCATCTACTGCATGGAGTTTGTTGACCATGACTTCTTTTACTGACCTCTGCTGTTGACGTGCATAGAGCCCAATGACTAAGAGGGGGTTAAAATCCAGGTTTAAAGGCTTACAGATGTAGCATCCTTCCCAAGAAGCAACTCTCAAATCTCCATGTATATTTGGTGCAGCATTTATATAGCTCTCTCATTGGAAGCATTCTATTTATGTTGGGAATGTCTGATAAATGTACATGTACATTTATGTGATGACCATTTGGTGCTGTACATCAGTCTATATGAGTACTGCTGCTAGAGTTCAAAAGATTATGTGTCTCATCTGCTGGGCTTTAAGTTTGCTAAACGTTGTAATTAACATCCCAACTGATCTGAAGGCTGCCAAAGTTGGCTGGGGAATTTCACGTCATTGCTTAACTAAAGCCAGGAAAGGACTGTTGACACCCAAATACCTCGTACCTTGAACCCAAGACAATTCAAGGACTTCGTCCTCACACACAAGTGCAAATTAAATGATAAAACCACCACAGATGCGGATGAACAGTATTGACAGCACCACATCCTATTCAAAGCTGCAGTGGCTTTAGAGCTTCTCATCGCTGACCATCAGAAACATTTTGAGAAAGGAAGATTGTGCAGTTGTGCACAAAAATACGGAAATAGCCAGCTTGGTTATGTGCTATTTGGCTTATTTGCACACTATTCTGTAATATAGTGTTTATAATCATTGGATTTTAACAGCGTCCCCATTGAAAGTATGGTACGAGCCCCCCCCCCCCCCCCCCCCCCCTCGCCCCACCAATTGATTTTCAGAGGCCAAGTGTCCGGAGAAAAAAAACTGTCTACATTTCAATTTTTTTTGCTGATGATTACCCCCCCCCTCCCCCCTGCGAAATTTCCTGGATCCGCCCCTGCAAGTGCGCATGTTTGGAACATTTTCAACACTGCGCAATGCTAGCTTGATTGCGTAAAATATGCAGTTGCAGTTCTTCTAGAGAGATGGCCTCTTTTGTGAGCTAAAGGCTACAGCACCAAACCACGTGGTCCATCTCTAGGCATAGGAAGACCAGCCCAAAATGTGTCACACCCCACCTCCCAGATGGCATGCTTAGTTTTATGTGCGTGTACATGTAGCTTTCCTTCATCTAACATTCTCAATGGAAACCTTAACTTTTTTTGTAATGTGCTTATGATGATTGAATGTGATTGTAAAAAAAATGCCAGGAAGGAACACTAAGTTAATTAGTATTTCTTGGCCAACTGCATTTGGAGGAAGTCTTCATACTGGTGTTTGTGAGATACTACATTCACCTCGGTTTTTTTTTTTTTTTAACTTCAGCCATAGAGTAGAATACGTGAACATTTTTAGTGACTAGACAATGTTAATGAGAAAAGACAATACCGGTACATCTTCACGCACTGTACTTGACAACCTTACATGTATGTATACATAGGTCAGAGTTAAAGTCAGCTGTGCTTACTGGTATTGGTAAAAGCTTCTGACAGTCGGCTAATAAATACCACATCCTGGTTGTTAGCTTATTGAAGGTGTTGTTTAGTGGTCAACCGGCTTTGCGAAGGAAGGAAAGATCAAGCTTGTCGAGGAGGTCCCTCGAATGCAAGCTTTGCCCTTGAGCATGAGTGAGAACACTGATACTACACAAAGGTTCTAGGTCAAGAAATGAAGTGGTAAGAGGATATAGACCTAGGAGAGAATGGAGCTTTGTACCATTTTGACCATTGCCAGACAGGCCAAGATCTTATACATACGGTACCTATTGACCTTTTGTAGTTACTTCCTTTCTGCTACGAACGCCATGTTGTTTACATCATTCTTCAGTGTTCGTTTGCTCTTTGCACTGTCACCGTAATTTCACAGTAATAATGTCGGCCGATAAAACAGGTCGCCTCCAAAGATGAGGTTTCTTTTTTGTTCCAAAGACGACATCAGATATATATGTTTGTTATACATGTAACTAGAGTTTGTATTAACAAGAGCCAAAACCTGGACCATGAAGAAAGAGCTTCAAGATCGCCTTAATGGTACATGGCTTCTTATGAGGATGCAAAACATCTCATGGCGTGAGCACAAGACCAAAGAACAGATTTACAGAGACATTAGACCTATCGTGCTGAAGGTCATATCTGACGTAATATTTTGGAGACTTCCGCGCCCTAGATAGAGGATCAAGACTTTTCAACTATGTTTACATGATTGGCAGAGACAATCAATAAATTGAGGACTTTCCATACGTAATGAGGGATCAAGACACCTGGCGTGGCATTGTGAATGTGATCTCGGTTACGACCGCTAGATGATGATGATAATTAACAAGACTTGTCCATGGTCAGCTGGTCAGCATGTTAGACGGTTCAGCATGGTCAGCCAGGGGCAAGGAGACCGGAAACAACTTGGCCAGTCGGGGGTCAAGAAGGAAATTGCAAACAGCCCTTATGAATCATTTCTTGCTTAAACAGCTTATAACCTGTCATCCGGATCTCGACGCCTGAGGCCACTCTGAAAGAGGGACGTGGTGCGTAACTTCATCATGACCTAGCAAATTTGTCTGTTATACCCTCACCATCACAACCTGCAAGAAATCGGACATTTTTTTGTGATAATAAGCTTGATTTCAGCTGAGTGGAAACTGGTGCCACAGTACCTCATATACCCTCATCAGTTGGCTGTCATGATTCAGCCACAGCTTCCTCCGTAGTTCTCACATGTGCAATGCCCGAACACACTCCACAACCAACCAGTTGATTCATAAAACTCAGGAAATTCATCATAACTTTCTCCAAGACACAGGAATTGCACATACATGTAGAAACAATCTGCGAAGACTTTGCCGGGGGGGGGGGGGGGGGGGGGGGTGCAGTTACACTGTATTGTGGAAAGTGTACTCCTTACAAGTAGTGGAGCTGCCAAAATCATGATCACTTGCAAGTGTGAAAACATTGTTTTCAGACTCATTTAGACCCTAAATTTGAGTGCACCACATGAGTTTGACAACCTTGGCTTTGACGAGTAGTATTCACTTGTGGGAAAATAATTGAGTGTTGGCATACAGATGTACCTGTACATGTATATATGCCATCGCCCAGATGTTATGTACAAGTTCAAATGTTGTAGAGATTAGACACGTTAGAGAGTATATTTCCTTTGTGGGCTGCATTTTTTTCACGTACATATAAGTACCTTTTTGAAGAAAAACAGAAATACACTGTGTAATGTTGCTGGCTGCTGTCTTGTATTTCATTTCATTTTTTTTTCATTTCAGAAACATTTATTTCCACATGAATAAGCACTTTAGAAAACAAAACAATTGTTACATAAAAACTACTAAGTGGAGGCATTACACAAGAAGCTGGAGCTTATAAACGGAATGCCTTAAACACAACAAAAAACACTTTGCATGACTTTACCTGCACTACTGCAGGAATGTACATGTACATGCCATATTAGGCAACCAAATAATAAATGTATACATATATAGGCACACTACTTGTACATGTACATGTACATGTACATAGATGTCATAGATGTACATGTGTATAGATGTCATAGATGTAATAGATGTACATGTGTATAGATGTCATAGATGTACAGTACATAGATGTACATGTACATGTGTATGTACTTCTATATTGTACTTTGTGTTTGAGGCACGTTCAACCTATGTAAAAAATATGATGCCATAAAAACAAAAAAAATGATTTCCTATGCAGACAGACTTGATACGTCGAGTACTCTATCCCAGACCTCATGCTGGATGGGTGGACAACTTGATGACGTGGAATGTTCTCTCAGCTCATGATCTATTAAGGTCGCTAGACTGCTGAGAATCCAAATTTCCACCATTTGGAGGTTTATCATGTTTATAATCGACCCATGTATGACCACGGAGCACAGCCTTACTTTCTTCCTTTGATCATCTAATACACTTCTTTATTGTGTTTCAGTTGAAAACTAAGCTATATTACTAAAGCCTGCTAGGACTGCGGAGAATCCAAATCAACAATGTTTTTCATTGCCAATCCATAGAAACGGCCCTCTACGGGCCAAATGGCTCTTGGCTAAATACCAGGACATATTTCATGTATTTACATGATTTAGAAACAAAACAAATTTAAATGTTTAATAATAATAATAATAGTTTGGGAGGCTAATCATACTCGCAGCTGAGAAGCTAAATTGCAAAGGGCGCGGCTACAACGTGGTCGAGCCGCTGGCGGCGCCTCCAGCAACTAGCCACATCGACCCATGTACATGTATGACCACGGAGCACAGCCTGAGATCGAAAGTGTTTTATTTTTCCGGAGGAAGGAAAACCGGAGAGCCCGGGAAAATACCCTGATGGCAGAGGAAAGAACCAAGTCTACTCACATACATGTATGACATGTATGGTCCGCAGATTGGATTCGAACCGGGGCCACAGTAGTGAGAGGCGAGCACTTTACGCACAAGCCACCCATGCCAATGGCCTTGGGAATGAAAGAATAAAAAAAATGGATTCCATCTTATGTTCATACTTTCAGCTTTAAAAATATGCCATACATGTACATTAGCCAGACCTTACTGAATGCCTAACTGTTGCCTACCTGGTGTTTGACACAATGTATATAATCCATAAAATCCAATAGTCACAGCATAGCTAATGGCAAACACTGGTTGCAATATAAGTCTTCCAATTTTCAGGTTTGTAAAGTCTTTCCAGTCAGGCAGGCTCGTCTCTTACAAGCACAAGAGCGCGACTACATGGCCTCATCAGTATAGACTCCAGCTCTCTCAGACCTGCTGGTTTGCCATATCGCAAGGGCGGTAATGTGAGGATGAATCATCAGGCTATATATGCTCACCGATACAAAAACTACACTTCCCCTTACAAACTCTGGGGCAGGGTCTAAAACTCCTGGCTCATGAACTTGTGGAAGGGTTCAACTTCTGGTTTCAGGTGAAGTTGGGTTTGAAATCCATTTAAACATTCTGTAGCGAAGATCAGTCAAGGTTTGACTCTTCAAAAGATTTGTGTGTATCCTCAGCTAAGATTATTGTTCAGAATGGCTTTTGGGGGAAAAAAAACAGGCTTGTGATCGTTGATCTTAGCTTGACGCGATTAGTCACATTTTTGTTCGGGTATATGGTTGGCCATAAGGCTCTAAAATAGAACCTGACTTTTGTTGTATATGTGGGGGCGACCTCATGGGACTTGTCAGCCCAGGGTTTGAGCCTGGAAGCCCCGATGGATGGCAAGGAAGTCAGGGAAATTGGCTGATTGGCCGTGATGTGGAGATAGCGCCCCTAGATTTTATTTACCATGACCTGCTCCTGGGAATACAATTTGGCTGTTAGCTGGAGTGGGTATAGTTTATTCACTAGTTGGCCATATTAAATTGAAAGCGAGGCAAACTTTTTGATTTTTGGAACTTGCGAATAGAAATGAAAGTAATGAAATAAAGTTAATTACAAATTAATCGCATTCTGCTCTGATGAGTAATTTAAAGTTTGTGATTAGTTCTACGCTAAGGTAATACATTGCTTTTTCTGTTATTTTCAGAAATGGAGGGATTTGGAGGTTAGTATTTTATAGCAAACACTGTGTGCTCAGTGTTGTGTCGAGTGATGGTGAGAAAAAAATCACTCGGTGGGACTCAAACCCACGACCTCCTGCTTGCTAGTGCAGACGTCTTACCACTCCACCACCGAGCTTGCCGGGGTTGGCTGGCTGGTTCGCATCTGCAATAGCAGTGGGCATCGCAACTAAACTATTCATAAGATGGAATTTACGTAGGGGTGATGTAAATTCAATAATGGGTTTTGCCCTTCACCGATGTATTTTATAAACACTGTATACTCGAGTGTTGTGAGGAACAATCGCTTGGTGGAACTCAAACCCACGACCTCCTGCTTGCTAGTGCAGACGTCTTGCCACTCGACCACTGTGCTTGCCGTGGTTGGCTGGCTGGTTAGAATCTGTAGCAGTGGGTACCGCAACTAAACTATTCATAAGATGGAATTTGTGTTGTTATTATAGTGGTGTTCCCTAACGTGGCGCACTTTGACGTTTACATTGACTTTCCTCATAAAGTGCTGCCAAACTTCTTTGTTGACAAACTTCAAATTCATTTACCTTATTAATGCTTGCTATGTAACCTCTGTGAACAATTTCAGTGTCATGAAATTAAATCCGGAATTCAAAACGCTGGCATCCGGAATTTGGGCACAAAATGGCTGGGTGTTCCCTAACGTGGCGCGCTTGAATAAATCTTGGAAAATTCCAAATTAAATTTGAAGAATTTCTGTAAGGTTGATAAATTCTGATAAACCATTATGATCTCCACTTATATACCCAAGTAGAAGTTTGTCACAAAGTTGTTTTCTTATTTTTTGGGGTCATTTTCAAAGGGTTCACTGCACTTCGAAATAAAATCGGAAAATCACGCCGAAATACATTTTTCTTCTAACTTTGTAACAGGTGGATTAACTCGCAGATTTTGAACGGGAGTGTTTAGAAATTGATGAAATTTCATTTTCTGTGAAATTTCAGTTTCTGTGAAATTTCAGTTTCTGTGAAATTTCAGTTAAAACTTGTGCTGTAGCTAGGCGCTACAGGCAAAAAATCAAAGTGCGCCACACTAGGGGCTGCGCCACGTTGGGGTACATCAACAATATTGGTATCTTTACCAAACTTTCAAATCTTATTGGCACATACATGTAATATGACCATGGCATCATTGAAATCTCAGAGTACGTGTAGAAGTTGTGTGATTTCAGGTGGATTGAGCAATATGAATTAATGGAAACAGTCAGCATTCAATACATGCATGCAGACTCACTGTTGGCGTGCTTTTTAAAGTTGCTTTGCCATGCACACATCTTGTATCAATAACTACTTAAACCGATGAGTAAATGCAGCTGAAAGTAGGAAGGAGGGGATGATTAGGTCACAGTTGTGAATTGATTGATGTCAGATTCATGTGACCCAGCACTGGGGCCAGCAGTCAGATTGCCACTTTAAGTTTCATCGTTCTCATTAAAGGTGTATTTTTAAGTTTAAACTACAATTCTCATTATTACTTTTGAGCTGATTGGCTTAAAATAAGGTTTACAATTTCGCATTTGCAATAAACGACGCGACTTGATTCTTTCATCATTTTCTTTGTTGACCAACCACCAAGTGATATGTAGCAGCTCCTGCCAGAGCTTAAACAGAAAAAGAATCTGAAACCTTGAACAGATTCTTAAACCATTATACAGGGTGAGTAAAAAAAACCAAAACCCACATGTTGGGACCAATTTTTTGTGAAGTTTTGCATGTAGCACTTTCAAAATCTAGAAAATTCATAAGCTTTCTTTTAGTACAAGAATCATTCAAATCACTCATGTACTTTTTAATTTACGGAATTGTTAAACACAACCACTATTTGAAAGTTTTGTCCACGGATCACAAGAAGGTAAGTGTTCTTTCAGCAAAACGAATCACAAATCACATACATGTAGGGATGCGTGTGTGAACTGTTTTCGTTCTGCTGAAAGAACGCACACTTTTTTGTGATCCGTGAACAGAAATTTAAAACGGTGGCTGTCTTTTATAATTCCGTAAATTGAAAAGTACATGAGTGATTAGATTGATTCTTGTACTAAAAGACAGCTTATGAATTGGGCTTTCATATCCTAGATTTTGAAAGTGCTACATGCAGAAATTCACTAAAACAATAGTCCCAACAATTGGGTTTTGCTGTTTTTTGACTCACCCTGTATTAAAAGCCCTGACTATTTTTCACTTGAACTTTTCCTTTTTTCTTTGGACTTGTTGGAGGTCACTGTTTCAGTTTTTCTTAGATTAACTTGTGAACACCTCTTTTGATAAGTAAATTAGCTGACAAGGAAACATGGCAATGAGGATAACAAAACAAAAAGCTCTAGGCAAAAATAAGTCTTGAGTTTTCAATAACTTGAATATTGACGTCAATTAAACATCTGGCTTTATGATTTTTTTCTAAATTGGATTTTCCTGTGTCAAAATGGCGATTCTATCAAGGATGTTTCTGTCTGACCCCCTTCTTCTGACCCACCTAAACATGACAAAACTGGGTATAATTGATTGCAAATTAACTGTGTGGCATTTACACATAGTACGTATAAACTTGTACCGGTATGTACCACTAGATTAGGCAAAAACCTTCCGGCTTTTGCTTCCAGGGTTGAAGTCTGGAGGGGCCTGTGAGTCAGGCAGATTGAATGAAAACACAAAATGCTTAGAGATTTAGATTCATCAAGCGAATTCCGGAAAGTGTTTTAGTCAGCACAAATGTAGACTTACCAACAAATGTAGACAGATGAGTGCCATTAATTTGTGCTATGGACTCTGTGTACACCCCCCCCCCCCCCCACCAACGGCATTGCTAAGACGCTCACGCAAAGGTGTTAGTGGAATTACAGAACCATGTTCATATAACTCAAACCAGCATACGCAAGTGGTGTGTCCCTGCCCCTTGGGCTGTCTAAAGTTGTCGCGGAGCAACATTTACTGTTCATGAATGGAGTCTGTATTACCGCACAGCAGTATGGAAATAATACAAAGTTTATTTTTGCTGGTTTTATATTTATTAAATTCTTCCTTGGAGTGCTGTGGTCCAGTATATTTACAGTGTTCGACCGGTACATGGGTTCGAACCCTGATGGGGAACATGGTGCGTGTGTCCTTTGGCAAGACACTTGACTACAATTGTCTCTCACCACTCAGGAGTAAATGGGTACCTGAGGGTATACTAGGGTAGAGACCAGATTGCGTTGATTCGGCTACAAAAAAGTGGTCTCATGGCCTGATGAACAGGGGTAATAATAACTGTGAAGGGCTTTGAGACCTAGCTTTGCTGGAAAGTGCTACGTGTATATAAGAAACACACACATAACATTGTTATAGTGACACACATTATGTATTTTTTTTACCAATTTGTTTGTGCTGAAATATTTTAAGCTGAAAAAAAATTCATGTAATGACTTGATATTACTTTCAACCCAAGTTCTGAACCAAAATTTACAAGGTTCATTTGGGCCACTATAGATCTAGACTCAAAGCAAGTTTAAGAATAAAATCATGATAGGCACACTGTGTCATTGATGAGTACCTATATGTGTGTACATGTTCATGTTCATGAAGCTTTAGGAGTAATCCACGCCCTTCCTTTTGGCAAATTAATGATGCACTTTGGACAGTTTATAGATTCCCTGAACGTGACTCGGTCTCAAGACTCTAAATTGCATGTTTCCTTTTGTACTTTGTTTCCCACCCTTGTTCAGGGTTGAGGCTGAGAGGCTGTGCCGGCTGAACAGTGTCTTACGGGGCATCCGGTTGGGCAACTTCAGGTGAGTGTCAGAACCAATTACTCTACCTCACACACATTCATGATCGAGAGCCGAATATCTCACTGGTCCATTCACCATCACGTGCCAGATGCTATTTTTGCTGTTTACCAAGCGCGTGCGCGTGCGAGTATTCACGCACACAGTAAATACGCACATGTAGTACTTTGTGTGCGCTTTACGAAGCAATCGTGGAACTGTCGCACGGGTGTAGTACGCATGCGCAAACATTGCCCTAGCTACGCATGAAATGATGGCTGCACACAAAAATGGTACTTAGCGTTTTCTTGGGCTTAAGGATGTCAAACTGGAGAATATCGTGGACAATAAAGATGCCTCCTCTACTAATCAGTAGTCCACAATTAATGTGGTATAAACTCTTAGAAGTTACTGTATTGCAAAAGAAGTGAACTTTTCAGAGGTTGGGCAGTATTGTTCTCCGAAGATTTTATGCCGAGCTGCGTACTGCTGCAACGGAACATTCGGTAACTATATATAGGAGGTATAGTAAAACAAATATAACATGGAATATTTCGGGTGGATAGTCGATATTAGCTCCCCGATTTGAAGTTGACAACCTAATGCCCTCGGCTTCGCCTCGGGAACTAGTTTGTCAACTTCCAATACCTCGGGGAGCTAAAATTGACTATCCACCCTCAAACCATGTTATGTGTATAATGTGTTATTAGGTAGTCTTTGCTCAAGACTGGATTTCAGAATAAGTTCCTCTAATGCAGCCAGTCCATCCCTGGCATGCACAGCCAGGCTGCTGTGAGTCAAACAAATCTGGAAATTTAGGCACTCGGACTTAACAAAGTCCAAATGAACTACCTGTATGCTACTGTAAATGGGTGTGCTTGAGGTACATGTTATGTATGCTTTAAATTTCTGAGTTCCAGGTGCCAAAATTCCCAATCTAGACCAGATTTGATTAATCTTGTTGATAGTACCCTATGCCAAAGTCTTGGTTTCAAGAGTTCAAGACGTCCTAGTGGTGCGATGTTTTAGCACTCACTAAGCGGGCATCTTATTACACACGTCAAAAATAAGCCACAAACGACCTTTGGGAATCTAGTATTTTCTGCTCGGGAAATTTCCTAGCAGAATTGTCTGTGCATTTGCTGCATGACGTAGCATGTCTGGTTGCTGTACTGCAGTTTTCAAAGCTACGTGTTTAATACAGCAAGCATCGTTGGATCAGAAAGGTCGGTCTGTGTGGATGAAGCCATCAGTTTTGTAGCAAAGAAACTGGACCTTGAAAAGCTAAAATAATAATCATTAAATTGGTGCTCTTCCTCCATTTGAACGTGGCCATGATTCGACTGATCCGTACGGTCGACATGTGCTTACATGTGATGTCAATGTCATGTTCATGTACATTATATAACCTGACAAACTGTTTTCAGAACAATTCTTTTGTTTCCACTGGTACGCATGCACTGTTATTTTGCATATTTAGTCCTGCCCTATTGCAGTGCAAGATTCCTAAGATGTTCTTTGGTTCTTTGTGTGCAGTTCGTCGACCGAGTCAGGTTTCTGGATGGCCCTATGGGACCGGGAACGTACATGTACATGCTGCTGCGCGCGGACTTCTATTGTGAATTACCCCGCTAAGAACATCTTGCATCAAGACCACCTCTACCACTGTGGTCACTTTGCTGCATTACCTTCAAAGTCTTACGATGTTCACCCATTTCACAATAGCACTCCAGTGTTGCACCTATATGGTGTATGGCACACTGGTTTATGGCTATCCGCTCCGTTCACAAGTACCCCCTTACTGGCAAACAAAGTACAGTTGGGGGTGACCGACCGATGCCTGACTGAGATTTTACCGCGTTGCGCGGCCGTACCACTGCGTGTACATAGTACAAATCCCCTGGTGTACATTGCGTCACACACAAGGAATGGTGCGTGTTAACCAGCTAAATGTCCCGCCCATGGGACATCCTTGCTAGGTAAAAGGGCGCCCTCTTTCATTGGCACACGGAGCTCATAGCCCCCCTTGACCAAAGATATTGACTAATTGGGGAACCGCCAACATAGGGCTAGATAGCTCAGTTGGTCAGCACACCAGAAGGGTTATCTGGAGGTGGCAGGTTCAAGCCCCGCTTCAGTAAATTTCTTTGTTCATCTTTTCAATTGTTATAATTCGTCTAGTCACTTTCCTTGTGTGGCTCATTTGAAAATTCGTAATAAAAAGCCGTATTCTCTCCGAGTAATCCCGTTTGCTAATTCCCAGGTCTGTACCGTGACTTAATTTGGGCTTGATCCCTGGCTGCATGGCATACTGGTTTATGGCTTCTGACTAGCGTCCCTTGATATTGACTAATTGGGAAACCGGGGGCTGAATAGCTCAGTTGGTAAAAGCACCGGAATTAATGGTTATCAGGAGGTCGGAATTTCAACCTCTGCTCCAGTCAATTCTTTCCTTAAGATTTTAACAAAGTTTGATGTTTGCAACTACCAAAATATCAGTTCTGCATGACTCTAGCTTATTGCAGTTACATGTATTCAAGTCCCTTGACTAGAAAGTGGGTGTCACCATAAGAATTGATATACATGTGTACACTGCCTCTGGTGCAATGTGTCTGTCATGGCCTCTGACTAATCAGTGTCTGTTTCCTAAACTTGGTCATTTAAGTCTGGATGTTCAAGGCTGAATTACCCATAAGCTTGCTCAACAGTGTAGCTCATAGTGCAGGTCACTGAAAATAGTTTGGGGATCATTCACTACCGGTATACTTACTGTCCTTATTGTTATAAACAGTACTAACCCAACCCATCCCTTTTCATCAGTCATGTCAGTGGCAAAAGTGTGTGTCCGAATGGGTGAAGCATGAGTAAAGTACATGTACTGTACATGTAATGAATGACAGTAGATGGCCGTTGCCATTCAGAAAAAAAAACACATGCACAATGTGAATGTACTGTACATACAATGTACATGTATACTGCTGTTCAAATGGCAAATTGCACGATTTGAAGGTGACATCATCTGATCAATAAAAACAAAGACACGGTTTGTCTTGCGACATCATAACAAGAGCCAGGATTTAATTTGATATGTCATAGATCAAGCTCCTGCTTAAATTGCATTGATCAAACGTTGAGTGCATCACATCACTGTCAGTCGAATACTGGGGGATTTAAAATAGGCTGTCTTTCACCACTTCCCTTGCCATGCATTTGTATGTACAGTACAATGTATCAATCACCTCCAGTCAAAGCATACTTGTAGCTACATTCTTATCACCGCATAAAAAGACAGTCCACACTCATTGGAGGGGTCACATTTTTGAACCTGATCATCTTATGATAACGTCATCTATATAGACCTTTGGGGAATGTTGTTAGCTAAAATTTGATACCCTGTTTGCTACCAAAGACTGTAAATTGTCCAAGATTGGCAACGGTTAAATGAAAAAAGATTTAAAGATTATGCGTGGACTAATTAAATTGCTAAGCGTAACTTCACGTGCCCCTAACTGACCCCTATCGACTGCACATTGCCTAAACAAAGTGCGGGTAATTTAATTTCACGTGCACCGTGCGATCGGTATTCCCCGCTAGTCGTTTCGGGCAGTGTGACATTGTCACGCAGCAAATTTCCACTCGTTTACTCTTTCAATTTGCAACTTTTCAAGCTGCATCATTTTTCATAAACTGTTTGGTAGCAAACAGGGTATCAAAATGTAGCTAACGACATTCCCCCAAGGTCTATATAAATGATGTTATCATAGATAATCAGATTCAAAATTATGACCCCTGCAATATGAGTGTAGACTGTCTTTTTGTGCTGTGTTTGTATCAAATAAACAAGGGAACTGTTAAAAGCACTTGATTGATTTTGATTTCTGTGATGACTTAGCTGGGAGGGTTTTTATGCCATGTGTTCTTGTTGTGCACTGAGCTGACTTTGTGCCAAACATATCTTTCATATATATGTTGCTGCTTTGTTTGTGTTTTCAGATATGTGAAGGAACCGTTGACCCTGGGTGATCATTCAGGCAACCATTTTGTGATTGTTTTACGGTAAGGCGATGGGAATGAAATGTTCTCTCAGTGATTTACTGATATGTTCATATGCATGTACCTCATAATGTTAACTTGTTTATGTATAGTTTCAATTCATTGTGCCCTTTCTGTCAACACTTGAGTGTATATAAAAGAAAGTTTACAACATCCAGATCAGCTTTTCTCTATTCTGCCTTTGGTACAATCACCTAGCATGCATTGTACAGCTACACTAAAGGGCAAATTTGCAAAGGCATTTTTATAAGGGTCATTCTATAAAGTTAGGGTCCAAAGTGTGACATTTTTCCTGTACCTATTTATAATTTGCCATTCAAGCATCCTTAACCCTAACCCCCTAGTAGTTCATCAGGATTACCCTGCTAAATCCAACGGACTAAGTCCAACCAGAGTTTCCTGCTCAATCCACTGTGCCTTATTTTCAGTTGTCTGCTGAATCCAACAGAGTCCAACCTGGCGTTATAATGCGGTTCAGTTGCCTGCTGAATCCAACATTTTGCATCAGGAATGTACACCGTGGGTTTACTGCTCGATCCCACAGGCTCCATCGGGTATATGATTTAGTTGGATCCTGTTGGATTCAGCATTAAGAAAGACTTCAAAGATATTTTTACGAATTGTTGTTATTCACGATCACTCTTGGAAGACTGTTGCTTTCAGACTTATAAAATCAGAGATGTCAGATGCAATGAGGACAGGAACAAATTGACAGATCCATCATTGATATATCAATAGCAGTTATATATAACTGCTATTGCATATCTGGACATGGGCACAGAAGACCCTAATCATTCAGAACCTGAAATAATAGACACAAAAACTTGCCTGACACATAATTACCACATTAATTGTCTCATGCATGAACACAGCAAACACATAAAGTTGTTGATTAAATGTACAAGGTCCAATTTTTGAACTTTGGGCCCAGGGTTCCCCTAACATGTAAACCATGGGGAAATTTGGAAACACACTTTTTTTTTTCAACTTCAAATCCTTACCGTAAGACAGGAATTTGTATCCTGCGTAAGAGTTCACAATAGTGCATCTAGCTAAGCATATTTCAACCCCATTGTGTTTGGATTTTACATGTGTATGTTTTCTGATGTTTGCAGAGATGTTAATGTGTCTCAAGAGGAGATTGACCAAGCACTCACTTCCATGCGGGACGTGGGTTTCATCAACTACTATGGCATGCAACGCTTCGGCAACTCCCAAGTGGCCACACATTTGGTTGGAAGGTGGGTAGATATATACCAGAAGCAGGTCTACTCAGACCTAAACCAACTCGGATCCAAAGCAACTCGGACTTTAAGCAACTCAGACCCAAAGCAACTCAGACCGAGACCAACTGGGACCTGGACCAATTAACTCGGACTTAGGCCAACTCAAAACCCAGAACACAGAGACCTGGGCCTAATCGGACTCAAACCACGGCGGACCCAAGCCTTTTGGACCAATACCAAGTCAGACCAACAGTAGTCTTACTCAGCCCCAAACCAACCCAGACCCAAACAATCCGAAATGTACAAAGACCACCTCGGTCCGAGATCAAATCGGACCCAGATCAGAATAGAAACAGACCAACTTGGACACAGACCAGCTCTGAATGAGACCATCTTAAACCAGACCATCTGAGACCCAGAACATGTATATTGGAACCAACCATAACCAACTCTTCACTGTACATGCTTGTCTTCAAAGCAAGCTGCCTGAAACATGTGTGTATGCATGTATCTTACAACTTGTTGTTGGTGACTGAATAACTAACCTACATGTAGTGTGTGAGAGGAATTTCAAATAAGCAGAGGTTGTCAATTTGGGTTTTAATGATGTGTCTGTAAAATGTGTTACATGTACATGATGTAACAACACCCTCTTTTTCCTTAATAAACATATTACCATGTACGGATACTTTAGCACACACAAACACATGGGTGAATTTGTCTTACATCTTTTGTTCAGAGGTCCACACAGTGTCTTCAATGCCTGCCCACATATTCTTGTTCCATAACTGTGGAGGCTACACAGGCATTGTCCCATGGTACTATATACCGACGACACTATGGGGACAGCAGAAAGTCCCCATAACTCGGTCCCTAACAATAAAACCTTCCCCATAACGCAGTGACACACACCATGAAAAGGAAGAGGCAATCCATGATCGGCCAAATAGTGAGTACGTTGTTAAGACACATCAACAGCCTAAATTTATCATAACAGGCTTAATTTTATTGTGTTCCACAAAGAGGAAATGATGATTTATTCGGAAATCCCTGCACCTGAGGAAGCATTGCTTCCAGTTTTGATGACCACGGGTATCAAAATTAGAACTTTTGTCACATCTGGTCTTCGGGAACAGATGGTTTCTTGCACAATCACAGCCACCTGTTAAGGAGCTGATCTTAGATGATAACTGCAAGGCTGACAAATGCCAACGCTGTCAAAGGCATCTGTTGTTCTACTCAAGATGGATGGAACTTTGTCATTCCGTAGTGCTTAATACTGCGGAGTAAGGAAGGGATGGTGCATGTACATAAGGGAGGAACCCCTGTGTGGTACCTCTTTCTTCAGTGTTGGCCACCCAAGCGCTAGTCCAAATTAGTGTTGTGCAGACCCGACCTGAAACCGACTTAAGCTCAGATCGGGTCGTTTGTCCATCATTTCAGTCTGGTCCGGGGTCAGTTTCAGTGTTGCGTTTGCGATTTTCGAGTCGGGTCGGTTAAGCCATTTTGGAATGGCTTAAACCGGAGTAAACTGAAACAAACCAGAAAAAAAAAATGAAACAGTTTGGAACTTCACACGGTGCAATATTTATTGCAGAGTCGCTGTGCCCGGTACGACCAAAATGGTTTGCTGTATGGTATGATTCAGTTACTGAGAGATGACGATTAAGCTCAGGCACAAATAGTGTTCACAGTTGCCCTAGCCAGATATCAGGTTTTTTTATTTCTTAATTTTTGTCGGGTTGGTTGAGTTAGTTTTGGGGAGTTCAGATCGGTTTCGTGTTTCGGATCGGTTTGGCCTGGTCAACCAGACCCGATGCACAACTCTTATTCAAATCCAGGCTCTAGCAATAGATTAGATGAACAGTTACCCCCTCAACAGTGATGAAGAGGCACAACAAGTATGAGTACAACAATGTCATTGCCACTATGCATATGGGGTTTGCAAAGAAAAGTGGACACTAATACCGGATGTGCATAATTTAGCATAGGAACATGTATTGTGTCATGTACATGTACACTGGATGCTGGAGCTCTTGTAATGTATGTTATTAAATGCCGTCTAGCATTCCTAGTAAACAGTAAATAGATAACACAGTGCCAAGAAGATGAAAATGCAAACTGATTTCCCCAACCTATAGACACTGTACACTCATGATGGCCTCTCTTCAATGGTTAAACCATTGTGCATGCTAGTGTACAAAGCAACTTGGCCCAATTGCATGGCGCTGCATAATAATAGTTAGCAGAAACGTTGTGTTTACTGTAGCAGAAAATTGTGATAACCTTAAGCATTATTTCATGGCGTGGTTGTGCTGAAAGTTGCGCATGCATGGAGATTTCTATTGTTGTGTCACTGATTTCGGCAACTTTTTCCTCTGGGGTAAAGAGTGCTTTTGCTGTGCTTACTTCTAACGATCTCCATGAAAGAGACTGAGGCTGTGATGACAGAAAATGGGGTGCTTATAATTAGCAGCATCATGAAGTTATGTCCTGGCCTGTGACAGATGATCTGACCAATGGCTAGCACAATGCTTCCACCATTGAAGGGGGCCTTTGTGATAGTATGGATAGGGTGCCCCGATTGGTCTGTATCCAACCCCACCCTCCCTACTCAACCTTTGGTACCTTTCCAGCTCCCACAGAAAATGAACTGCAAGTTTTCCGAATTTTGTTTGCAAGTACTTTGTCTTATAATGACATTAACACTGGATGCCTTGATAAAGAAAGTTCGGACATATTCAAACATGTTTTATTGACAGTTCACCTCCCATTTCCTAACAGGGCTGTTCTCCTGAGCAAGTGGCAGGAGGCTGTGGATCTGATACTGAAACCGAGAGAAGGAAGTGAGTTTATACTGAGATTAAAGTTGGACCTTGGACTTGCGTGCAATGGTACTCAGAATTAATTGCAGTAACAGTGATACAGAAATATCAAGCCAACTCATCATCACCCATATCCCACTCAGAGTGGCTGCTTTGCTGTGTCAGTATGTCAGCGTGTTGTACAATATGGATTTCAGAAACTTTAAACAAAACTGCAACAGTCATAACACATGAGATTTAGACAGATTGAATCATCATTCATACATACCTAAGACAGTTTATCCATTCCTAGTGGTTGAGAGCCCGTCACGTGGCCGGTCTTAAATGGATGATAAAGACATGGCTAGCTGGTTTTAAAGACTTTTCCAGTGTCACATAAAATTTGGACTCCTAAAAAGCCAATGCCTCTTTCCGTTTTATCGAACCTTCACTATTAATCCTCACGTAGGCATGTGCAATACTACCAGTGAGTCAGAATTTTATAGTTCTAAATGTACAACGCAACGCCACAGGTGCATTCTGCGCGACATCGCGCGCGGCGAGCGTGGCAATCTCCATAAAAGGATGTGTTTACATCTTACTCGCCAGCTGGACACTCCATTATTTAGCTAGAGGTGTGTTTAAAAAAACATGAACTGAATTTGTTGAACAAAATCGGTTAAGACCGCTTGGAGTCTTATCAGCATCCAGACTCCAAGCAGTCTTAAACAGAGTGATTAAAACGTCCAAAGCATTGAAATTTCCAAGCATTTTTTTAAGCAAACTTAATCAATTGTTTAGCTTGGCAATTTTCAAATCACACACACTCATCAGCTGTTCAACTCTTTGTCGCAGGCTATAAAATCTTTAAATTATAAAATTACATCGTCTGTACCAAATTCTAGAATTCCACAAATTTGCAACAAAATCACAAGCAAGCTGTTCACAATTCCAAAATAACAGATAAGACACATATATTACTCCAAGTCAATTTATGAATTGTATGTATACTGTTAACGTACAGCATTTATAAAATTAATAATTGGTTATGACTTTATTTACAAAGGCTTGCATACAAAGGATTTTTTACAAAAAATGACCCTGTGAGAAGGTGCATTGATATCTATCTGACGAGTGCTCTCTTAAGCGTAGTCCATCATCAAGACCACAGCAAAACCTGTAACAGCAAAGACACTTGCAGGATGACCGACACGAAATGTTAGCTGTTGGGATCAATTCACTATTATGTAAAATTTAAAACAGACGCCTGTCGCACACAAAAACACGCCCACTGCAAAGAAACCTTAACGTTGACGAAATTCACCTGTTGCCTTGTTACTGTTGTACCATCAGACACCCAAGACAACAGGTGGCGGCAGCTGTGGATGGACACGAGAGATGCCAAGGCCGTGATGGACATCCTGCCCAAGCACAAGACCATCTCCATCGAGATGCAGCTCCTGAAGGCGCTCAAGGAGTCCAGCAACAACTACCGCCAGAGCTTGCTATGTGTAAGGTCGGGTCCATGGCTTTAACCAGAGTTTGCCATCAGATAAGCCAGTTCGGTATTCAACTGCGCATGCACACAGTGATATGGGTCACAGGTCATTCGGGATATTCGGAAGCTCATCGGCGCATGCATCACGCAAGGAGACGTTCGCATGACGCACGCGCATTATACTTAGGAGCAGAATGGCGTTAGCGTTACATCGCATAACATCACATAACATTGTGTCAGTGATTTTATCCCGGATGACCTTTGACCTGGACTAATTCGTCAAGATACCGATGTGGCGTATATCAAGTGCTTCGTAATAACGTTGCGAATCTCTTGTCTGGAATAACATGTAAAAATGTACATGTATGTTGTCTGTCTTCGACAATTCATTGGGCCCTTCCAAGTGCCATGGGGGAACAACATGCACTTCTCTCCGTACAACACTAGATGCACTAGCACGATATGTGACGGAGGGACCCCCCCCCCCCCCCCCTTTGTGTTGGTCATTGTGTTACCAGAATCTCAGGAATTCTTTTGAGATATCTAGTGCTAGTTAACAACAGTCTAGGGTTTGCATAGGGTATAGGGAGATTGAGGGGGGGTACCCCTTCGTCTCATATCGTGTTGGGTATAACTAGATGTTTCATCAACACGGGTATTGTAGCAAGTGCACACATACAGAACTTTAGTCTAACATTTAAACATAGTTAAATTAGTCAAAACAATGGGGCAGGGCATGATGGATAAGTCTTAACAACTGCAGTGGCGTAGTCTTGGCCCAAGACGTCAGTCATGAAGAGCGATAGTAACAATGTTGTGTGGAACCTTGCATATTTGATTTCTTACATTCTCTCACTAACGTCTTGGTCATTTAATTCGTAGCAAGAGGGGTGTTGCCATTTTATGTAAATAGGACCGCCTGTATAAATATGAACAAAACGGCAGTTCCCATTCACCGCACGTATCGCGAATGTTTACAGACGTACGTCGGGCGAGCCATCGAATCATTTTCTCGTTCCCTAGGAAAGCGATGATGCTGTGTCACCGTATAGCCCGTCAGTGTTTACAACCGTCTGGCGAGCCATTGAATCATTTTCTAGAAAAACAGAAAAAGTTAAACCGTTGATACGAACTGGCCAAGACGTTAGTGCGAGTAGGCCCGCTGGTTTAATTGTTGTGCCATTAAAGGGCCCACTATGCACCTTCCACTATCAATCACTAGCGCCTTGGGCCAAGACTACAGTGGCAAATGCTGGAAATAAATCATAAATATAGTGAATATCCTAGAAACTAGTGATTTCATGAAAGAAATACTACTCTTCTTTCTACCAGTGTCTCATGAGTGAAATGAACAAACGGTACGAACACATTATTTTGAAAATTAAAAAAACAAACAAACAAGTTTGTTCAGCCCCATCGCCAGGTCCGCTTATGGCTTTTGCCGATTGGGGGGGGGGGGGGAGTTGCTCGGGGGGAGTTGCTCGGGGGATTTTGCCCCCCCCCCCCCTTAGCGACGGGCCTGAGTTTGTCTCACTGTCGCTTGTTGTCTTCTCCAGGAAACCCTTGCAATGCCAAGAGCTTGGTTTTTTCAAATGTAAATTGAATCTAGGCTCTTTGAGTTGTAAACATTGCAAGTCTGTTACTGGTGCTCACTTGATTCAATCACATGTCTTTCCATCAAGTCTAGTCACAAGCTACTTTGAATGGACAACGTGTTTGACAAAGGCACTTCATGTTTATTGTTCCTACATGTATATACTTGCACTTGCAACTGGACATGTGAAAGGACTTGTGTGATTTACTTGAGACAAGGATCCTCTACACAAGGATAAACGACTCATCTGAGCTTTTGTACAAAATATACGGAACGGTTGTCTAGGGGCGTGGTATGCCGCGTCCGCGCATAGAACGATGGATAGAACATGTAGAATAATGTGTGCGCGCCATGATCGCCGACAGCTGGCGTCCTGACAGAAATTTAACCGCCGAAAGACTACAGTCGCACGCCGAGTCTCGCGCTCCTCGCATGCACAACACGCAAGTGTCATATCACGCCTCTAACCAGAAATTGGGGAAGTCGTTTATCCTTGTGTAGAGGATCCGTGCTTGAGACATATGAGTTGCGTGGACTTGAGATGGACTCGTGCTTCCACGCTGTATCTTACTTGATGGCTTTTCTGTTCTTACCACACAGATTCCCCGCAATGTCAGGTTGCTGTATGTTCACAGCTACCAGAGCTATGTATGGAATGTGCTGACTACGCGCCGCATACAGAAATATGGGTTGAAGGTCATTCCAGGAGACCTGGTCCTGTCAAAGGAAGACAAATCAGGTAAGAGCTGGTCTACTTAACCCATACAAATCAGGTAAGAGCTGGTCTACTTAACCCATACACAACGTTAGACACCTGTTGCGTGGAGTGCTGTGGCCTCGTGGTCTGGAGCATTGAATTCTTGGTACGCGGGTTATTCTGCAGGTTGTGGGTTCGAGTCCAGCCTGCGGCTATGGAGCATGTGTCCTCAGGCAAGGTACTTTGTCACTCATAGCTTCTCTCCACCCAGGAGTAAATGGGTACCTGTGAGGGCAGAGATGGTTAGTGTGATTGAATTAGCTTCCTTGCACCTACATGTAACAGGCAGCATCCAGCTGTATACTCCCCAGGGAGCTGAAATTGTATTTGAAATGTTTCATTGGCCCAATGACAATGAGCAGGGGTAATAATAATGTAAAGCATTCTGATCATAATCTCTATACAAAAACCTGTTATTATTATACGACTAAATGGCTGTTATTATTATACGACTAAATGGTACTTTGGCAATCATCGGATATTGTCACCGCCACCCTTTATAGGCAAAATGTTACCGTTGCAATAAGGTTATATTTGTTGCTCATTGTCTAACTAGTAAACATACCGAAACTCATGGAAAAAGGATGAGGGAATATTGGGTTAGGGCACATGTAAATTTGTGCACAAGTCTATGGGAATGTCTCCAAATGTCTTCCCAAATGTCCAGTCCAAGGTATTATTACTCATTGTTTGCATGTCACACCTTCTGCAATTCGAAAGAGCATTTAAGTACACTTTTACAAAACATTGCTTAGTAAAATTAGGTTACCGGCCAAAACTCCATGTGATGTACATTGCTTGTGACTGGTATTTAGCTGTTGTTTACTTAGCATAACAATCGCATGGAGTTTTGGCCGGTAACCTGATTTTATTAAGCAAGACGTTTTTGTGCTTAAGCAAATTTTGTGCTTAAGCAGCTCTATGAAATTGGCCCCAGCTGTACATGTACATTCAAGAGTACTGTACATGTACCATAAAGTAATGGCTTTTGATGAGGGTGGCTAAATAGCAGTACACTGTGTGTCAAGATCATATTGCAATAATCTTGTCATTTAACAGTCTTTGGATGCAAATCGTGAATGAAGAAAAGTAGATTTAAAAGGGGTTTACAATTCCGCTAACAGTTTTGAGGCTTGTGTTTGTACAAAAGATGAAAATAGAAAAAAGATTTGTCAATATTGTTGTTGTACACTCTGTCATAATTTCCACACGTACCTTTTATAAGTATACATGTATAAGCAATCTAAACACCCCCAAAAACGAAACTTCACACGCATTAGAGGCGTCAAAATTTGGAATCTGATCATCTTATGAGCTCTTATGACAAGCTCATCAGACAATTATCTTCCAAATTACGAGTGTGGACTTTCTTTTCTTAATCTTGGGGATGTTTAGTAATGTTTTGCTCCATAGTGCTTTAAAACTAGATGGGCCGGAAAAAAGAACAAAGCTGCAAATCTCACACTCACTGAATTCCTTCCCCTGATCTGTGCGTTGACTCAGGTAACTAACCAAATTTACAACATATCTGCAAGTGCCTTATTCCTCCACATTTGTTTCAATTTTGTCCCTGTAGTTGATGAGAGTGAGCACTTGCAGTCAGCAGTAGTCGACGGCGGTAACTTGGATAGCTACTCCATCCATGACATTGTGCTCCCGTTACCTGGTTACGCCGTGAACTATCCGCAGAATGAAGGTGAGTAACGTCCTGTGTGGCAATTAAAACCTGTTGGCATTTATATTAAACTGGGTCAAGTCGGTAATAGGACTTGATAATGATCAGGAGTTTCAATTCATTATTTCCTGCATTTTATTTGAAGGGACAAGAATTCCATTTGTAGTTCGAAGGATTTGAAATTTATCTCCTGGGGCACGGGCCTTGCCAGACCAATTTGATTTGTTGATGAGGGGGTTGGGACAACAAATGTGCGGACATTCCAAGGTGGGTAGTATTATTAGGTGCATAACCAGGTTGCATTTTCTGGGTGAAAACTGCACTGAATTTCAAACTATGGGGTGGAGTTTCAGAAGTGGAAGCGAGGCAGATATTCCATGTAGGCGGGAGTAAACGGCATTGAGCACAATGTTGAACTGTCCATGGTGGAATCTTTTGTCAACATTTCCCCTGAAATTACACTTAAGCTTCCTTGCATTGTGAGCTTGTTGTGAAATAAGTCAGTTACAAATTGAGTTCCAATTTTACTATAGCCCTAACAGTCCTGAATCCTCCAATTTTAATACGATTGTGTACACCCCCTAGGGAGTTAGGGTTAAAAAAGTGTCTTTCTATTCTGCTGTCCTTTTTCCCCCTTCAATTTGAAGCATGAACGGTCATTGCCAATGTACACTTAAAGAGGAAGGCCAAGTTCACTGCCCCATGAACCTAGACAGGGAACTATATAGAAAAAGTCTGTTACAGATGCATGTACATGTACTGGCACAATTGAAGTGACCATGTCTCAGTAACCCTAACCTCCCCAACTCCATCAAAATCCATCCCCCATTTTGGTGGATTTTGGGGGACTTGGTCCGGAAAGAATGTTGCAACCTGACGCTGCTTTTTTTCTTCATATATCATCTCAATGAAGGTCAGTCATTGCAAAAAAATAATGAAAAGACATGAATCTGGGACTGAGAAACATTTCCAATTTTGTTAGGAAATACTTAAAAAAATTGTCTTGACTCTCCATGGACTTTGTACACAACCGCTGATGTAGTGTCAGGTTGCAACACTCATTCCCTTGGTCCTGCAGGCCTGGTTTGACTAAATATTAATGGAGTATGATGGACTTGGTCCTGAAGGCCTGGTTTGACTCAGTATTAATAGAGTATGATGGACGTGGTCTTGGAGGCCTAAAGCAAAGCATACATTGGAAGCATTGTGATTGATGGATTTTGGCGGACTTGGTCCGTACTTGGTAAGTGAAAGACGGTAGGAGTTATGCTTAATTAACCTCCCTCTCTGGCTGGCAAATTCAACAAAGCGAACTCAGCAGTCCAAATAAATCAAGTGACTGTTTTATACTGTTGATTGGTCCCCTCTCACATAAAGCAGGATTGACTGGTTGTGATTGTTATGAAACTTGATACAGTTATGATTTGGCTGTAAAAGATCGATAAGCCAGCTGTAACTACTATTTACCAGGTTTTGTCTGCTGATGGAATTTGACTAGTCACTGTGCCTACAAGAAATACGATCTGACTGTTGGTGACATGTCTGTGTGTAAGGCATGCAAGGGGAAGTGGATTGAGTTTTTGATTGTCTGTGACTGATCAAGCAGAAAGAGGTTTTTATGAAATACAAAGAAGTGCAGTTTACAAATGACGGGTAACTTGCATCCTGAACAGTTGTTTGAAGTTTGATCCATTTTACAATTGATTCCCCCATCGAAAGTAGCACCACTACAGACTTCCTTATCATGACAGTTTAACAAAAACATTTGTCAGGCAGTGATACCTAGTTTCGAAATACTTTGACACATCTAACTAGCATTGTCAATGGTTGGAAATTCTCTAGGGTCCCTTGATATGAGTCAGCCCATGTTTCTCAAGGGACCCCGGTAAAATCAACATTCCCTGGGGACACAACATCTGGTCATCAGGTTTTTCCCAGGGTAGTTTTTATTTTATCAAACCGCATCATCCAGGTCATGCATACAGTTACTCTTTTGTGGAGGAAGGAAATCTTCAAATAGCTGCAGAAACCTTTATAGTACCAGGTGGCTTCAGAAATAGAAATCAAGTTCAGATCCAATAAGGGGATGTGTTTTTGATTCTGACCTGTTTGTAATATTGAATTTGGATAAAATGCGAGTTCCTTAGCATACACAACTTAACAAAATATGTCAGCTTCGCACTTTTATACAAGCTACTCAGTCTTAAGGTTGCTTCGGCCGATTGGCAACTTAATATGTAATACTTTATTGTGATGAAACAAGCTCAAATTGTCGTTACACGGACCTTTTGATTTTCCCGGATAAATCCTTTCAACACTACTACCGGTACATGTATTTATAAACTTGTTTTAAAGGCATATACAGTGTCACTGATTTGCACAGGCATTCAGATTGCCATTAAATTCAACCCAAGCACAATCTTAGGTTTAACGTGAAGTATGTTTTGGTTTCTGTACCATCAATCTCAACATCACTCAGAACTGGTGCATTATTGTAAATATACACAACGTACAGAGTCATTTCCACAATGCATAGTGAAGTAGAATTGGGTGAAAGGTTCAAGTTGTGATAACACACTGCTCGGTCCCACCAGGGCGCATACATGTACGTGTATGTGTTGTGCAATAGCCCTGCTTTGCCATAATAGTGCCTAAAGCTCCCTTGATTCTTGAAACAATAAACCCGCCAAAGTGGAAACAGAAAACGAAACACATTTTGTGTTTGGATGGGGTCATTTTGTCAGGTTCCATTATACTGAAGGCACTGGTGCTAAAAAGAAGGTTGTACCGTATGTAGTGGTAATAATTGGAGCAACTTTTTTTCTGCAACTTAGTTACCGGTAATCTAAATTAGTATGGATTGTATTCCCCCAAACAAAGTTACAGTAAGAAAAAGAGAAAAGTATTAATGAACGGTAGAGAGTAATTAACGCCTCAAAGGGAACAATAAGTATGTTTTAATCTGTTGATTACTAAAATACTCCTTGCAACTTACAATGTATACTCTTAGAAACTTTACTTACAATCTCATCGAGATTTCCAAGTCAATTTGTCATCAATGATAACACCTAAAAATCTAAACGGATCTACCTTCTTTACAGTTGTTTTATCCAGTAGAATATTTAAGTTTGATGAATTTTTCTGTTTTATTTCCCTGTTTCTGAAGATCACATAATTACATTTAGAAAGTGAAAAAAATAAACGGTTGGCTTTTAAAGGGAATATACACCAATTGCAAACATCGAAAAACAAAACCACCAAATTATCACAAAATACCTTACTGGACTGCCAGTAAATGACAGTCTTAAGCATCCTGTAAAATCAGGGCACCTGGTGTGTTGACATTTTTAAGAAAGAATGGTCGACCAATCAGCGTTGGGAAAAACTGAATATTTTTTGGTTCAATTCTGCTCCCAGTTTATCATATTTAGTCAGTCTACATTTTCTTTGCAATCGATTACACACCTTGAACAGAGACAGGCCAAGTGGACTGATTCCTTGACGTCACAATTCCCGAGGTCTAAAATTGCTCCATTATTTTCATCTTTAGTGGGTCAGGGAACCAGACTACCAGAATATGTTTTTTTTACCTATTTCTTCCCGCTTCTACTAACCCAAAACATCAAATAAGCAAGGACGGATCCAGAAGACAATTTTTTAGGGGGCCAACCCCCCCAAAAAGTGGGTCAAAAAATTACGGCGTGGGGTTCGGGGCCCGCTTAAGGGCCCCGAAAACTTTTTGGATTCTAGATGCTCTGTGGTGCGATCTGAGGCAATTTCTGACCACTTTTACCAATGTTTTTTTGAGGAAAAGATGGTGGTATACTCATTGCCTGCCTTTATTGCGACGTCACATAAAAAAAAAAATTGGTTTCGTTTTTTTTTGGGGGGGGGCATGGCCCCCTTTGGCCCCCCCTGGATCCGCCCTTGCAAACAAGTCAGTGTAACAATATTGCTGTAAGATACTAACCCCCTATAAAAATCCATCCATTTCTGAATATTACAACAAAAGCAAATGTTCTATAGTCCCTTTAACCAATAACAGATACTGATCTGTTTGTTGATTGACAATATTAGAGGGAAATAAGATCTTTGTTACAATAGAATAAACTAGCTACTTCCGCATACATGTATATGATATAAATGATAACAATTTTGATTATTGAATTATCATCAAGTTAGATTAAATAGAGCACAGGTCCCAGCAGAGAGCCCTGGGGTATTCCGCATAAGATATTTCTAAAAATCAGACAGGCAAATTTCGGAACCATACTGTTTGATATGATACTAATTCCTATTTAAGTAGCATTTGTAGACGTTATATATGAGTTGTCAGGGGTAAAAAAAAAGTTTTAGTGTAACTTGAGAATTGTATTCATGTAGCAAGATTAATAGATTTTTTTGTTGATCGTTTTTCCAAAGGTGATGTAGAGAACTTTATGATCTGAGAGCGACGTCAACGTTGTTGCTAAACTCTGCCTCATCGTGTCTGTAAAATATAGGAGAAAATACTTTTTATGACGTAGGATATATTAATGTTGAATTTTCCCATTTATTGTTATCATTTAGTCATACGGGAAATCTAAAATATTTTGTTCCAATTTCTTGGCTTAATGTATAAACCTTTCTTCGTTCTCAGAATGAACAGAATTCCTGAATTGTAAGGTCATGTCATAGTTTGCTATCCTGTGGATGCAGGTGTTATAACTGACTAACATTTTATGCAATAAGACACATCCTTTTTTTCAAATTCCCTTCAAAACAATAGTTCACAAAATAACATTCATTTGACCAGTCATGCAAACTCTGCAATACAAATTATTTACAAATTTTTAGCTAAAACTTTGATTTTTGCCTAAGTATAAATGTTGTTATAAAAGGCTCATCAGAATTCGACATTTAAAGGTAGAGTACATCACTTGCAGCCAGGGTAAGCCTTAAGGATTTTTTTTTGTATAGCAAAACTGCTATGCAAATTTTGATTTGCATAGCAGTTTACCAATTTTGCATAGCAGTTTTGT